TCTAGGATTTTCAACCCTTTCTCCTTCAATGATCCAAATCGCACCTCTGAAGCTGGTTTTGGTTTAGCCATCTTTAACGTGATCTGATCACGAGCTGGAATTTCGACTTCCTTTGGTGGAGTGGGTAGCTTCTTAAATCGTCCTTCAACATTTCCTGGCAGCACACCACCTTGGACCCAATCGGGTTGCTCAGGTTGTGGGACGGGTTTCTCTTGCGATGGTACAGCTCGGAGGGCAACCTTTAAGAAACTCATCCAAATCAACTTTCCATGAACTATAAAAAATTTCATACCGTCTCCATCTCTTCCCTAGGTGGTTCATATCTGGAAATTTCTCCAGGCTTGAGTTGGACAGGGGGTAATTCCATTCCTTTGAACTGTGGTCGGGCGGATTCAACCTTAATTGAACCTTCTAAGACGTGATATCGCAAAAGTAGTAATTGCACTCACGTATGCAAGCTGATCATAGAAGTGCTCGTCTCGTGGTCGATTGAATTTGTCAACGAGCTCTTCGGTTTCAAGAGGTTCAACTGGATATTTAGCTCTAAAAGAGAAATTTACATGGTTATACTATTCGAAACAATATCTATCAGTGGTAAACAACCGATTTCAAGATTGGGAGAATCCGCAAAAGACTACAATTTTGTGGTCCAAAATACTCTGTAAACTGACCACATGATAGTTTGTGCTCTATCAGGTCCCTACCCAGATGAATTCTTAAGCCATCTGTCCAAGTTATTTGTACAGTTGTCGACTCCATAGTATAATCATTTACACGGTTTTTTGACCACCCATGGTTTACAATACCCAACTTGCATGAACATTAAGGCCAAAATAGAAGGCTATCCAATGAAAAAAATTTGAGAATAGATCAACTGCTGTAATTATTTTTTCATTTTTTTTGTCAAATGGGATGGTCCTGTTTGCTAACTGGGTGAATGAGTGTTCTCCCGATAACACTTGAATGTTAAGCTTCCTTAAGAAACAATAAGGATAGAATCCAGTGTCTTAATAGTTCTGTGGGTGAAAA